GTTGGGCGGTTGCTGCGTAGCGGCCGGCCCGTTCCCCGCTCCGGGCTCGCGGCGGGTTGGGTTTAGCGGGGGCTGGCGCGGCGGAGGGAAGTGCCGGAAGGTCCTGGGCCTGCCTCCCTTCTTTAAATCAWTGGAACAGAAAAAGAGCAGGAAAGATAATATTTAGTTGTTTCCCTGATTGGAGATGGTAGTAAATAATACTTAGAAATACTCAGAAATAATGCTAAGAAATACTTGGAATACTCCCAGAATACGTTCAGGGAAGGAGACTGCTGTGCTGCTCRGTTGGGCCTGGATTGTGCTAGAAAGTCTTCAGGGTTACTTTTTACTTCTTTTTAGGTTGTATTGTGGAAGAGCTGGGTATATTTAATTTTCAATGCAGGGGATATCACCTTCCTGTAGGAAAGGTTCCCGTCCTCTTTCCCACAATCAAAAAAAAAAAAGAAACCCACTTTTTTGGAATAAGGACTGTGCAGTGGTTGCATCTCAGTACCTGTGTGAGGGGAAAGATAAAGATAAGTTAAGGAAATCACATACCCGTTTGAACAGTGATCACAAACAAAGTGACCACACTTAAGGAGAGCTAGCATTGAAATTCTATCCCTTCCCCCCCTTTCTTTTTCCTCTTTTTATTCACAATATACTTTTTTTCCTTTTTTCACTTGAAATTCATTGAGTTGAGTGACAATATTGATAGTTGATCTTCAGGAAATGCACATGGTATTTGGAAAAAAATAATATAATACAGTTGGAATATAATATAAGGGATGTCAGAGGGAGARGCTTTAAAAGAGTGGGCCAGGGGGATAGTCTGCTCCACCTGTCCTATATAGTTATATAAGTGACCATCAAAACTCCCTTTGAAAAAGTTTTGGTGATGTATTCTACTTTAGGATTCTCAGTTAAAACTTTAATTATGTATGCTCTGCTTTTTATTAACTGAATGAAATTTCTTGCTTTTGCAGATGTTACGCTTTACTTGAAGATTAGATGCATAAAAAGGGAGCTACTGCCCTTTAATTTCAGAAGCTTTTTTTGTTTTTTTTTTCTCTCTCTCTTGTTTTTGTTTTTTTTGAAACCCGCATGGCTTTCATGCTTTTCAATTGAAAGCCCTCATGGATTTCAATTGCAATCACTTTTATCCAATTACCCATCCAATGGTCAAATTCATACATTGCTCATAAGTTCTTATGAACTACCATAAGGATAAGCCTTACTTGCACATTTTACAGCAATCTATAATATTTCTGAAAATAGCTTTCACTCATGGAGCTCTAGATGTTATAGATGAGCATGAGGAAGCTGATCACCTGCCTAAAGTTTACATACTTAATTTCTCAGTACCTACCTGACTGTCCTTGGCTTCTGCTCCATCAGAAAGGAAGTGGTTTGTGTTTTATATCTGTTACACATTTTACTTTTCCTGTGAAGTTTGTGCTCTGAGGGACTTCTACTTGGACACAGTGCTGCATTTACAAGAAAAGTAAATAGTAGCTTTTTTTTTTTTTAAACAGAATTTCTGGGGAATAATTTAATAAAGGAGTTCTCAGGATCTCTTAGTTCAGAGCATTGTTGTTTTTTTCTAAAGGGGCTTTTCCCAGAATGTTTTGTTCGGTGTAGTTTGCATTCTGTGTTAAATTTAGCACTGCTTAGGAGGATATGGTCCCAATCCTTTAGCTAGCGTGTCTCAAGCCAGTTTTGGTTCCCAGAATCAAATACTTGGCCTTTGTGTTTGCTTTGATAATTGCCGATATTTGACACTTCTCAATGTTGTCAAGTGTGTGAAAGTATGTGCTGGTTTGCAGAATGTGTATTTTCCTCCTTCCTTATGTTGAAAACACGGTCTCAGTGATAACCATAACTCATTTCAAGAGCAAGGCAAAATTCCTTACTTGTAATATGCTGCATATGAGTTATTCCAAGACAGAGCAATTTATCTTTGGTAAATAGCACTTTGTAGGTTTCTAAAGTTCAGTTTTATCACATACTGGTATTCTTTCCAGTCTGACAGTGTAATCCCTTTATGAAAATAGGGCTATCTGAAATCCTCTACTATATACTTTTCATCTTTTTTTTTTTTGTTTTTTTGTCATAAAACTGATAATTAAGAAAAATACTTGTCCTCTAATGTATGCTTCTATTCAGAAGGTGCCTGGTACTAGAGCTGCCAGGGGATTTCTTGCATCTTGCAGTTACCTGTGGTATTTTTCTGCATGGCTGTACGTTGCTAGAAGGTATCACAATCTCCATCTCCCCTTTTTTTCCTAAGGGGCCTAAAGCTGTAGCTGTTAGTAAGAGGAACCCAGGAAGAAAAGTACTGCACTGCTTATTTTTATAGGCTTATTTCTATTATTGTATTTGGGATCTTCTACAGCATACTAATGAGCAATGAGATTTTTGAGGGTGTTTCTTTGGATTTGATCTCTTCCTTAAAATTTATTTAAATGTTTGAGGGGAGGGATTTATGCCTTGCTTTCCCCCTATTTGAAGAGAAAAGCACAGAAATGTCCTGTGCTGTGTGTCTTCTGCTCTCCAAACAGTCTTGTCAACCATAAGCAGGCCAGAGAAGGTGATACCACTTTCTGCCTTCCTCCTTTAAAACGCAACCCCCAATATAAGGGGGGGGGGGGAAAGGCAAGTTTCCACGCCACTCTTATATGTTATATCTACAGGGGAAGTTCCCGCTTAAACCCATCCCTTTTTCAGTTTTTAGAAGGTTTACACAAAGGGGCATAATTTCAAGAGAAACTTGGCTGTATATTTTTAAAACAGACATTCTTGAGGTGGAAGAGCTAGTTACTGTTGTACTTGCACTGTGATACTTTGTGTCCTTGTTGAGCACTGTAAACCCTTAATTAACGAGTCATCTCTATGCAGTGCATGCCTGCAGATTAATTCTGTTTTCCTCTGTTAATAGCCACCTCTTGTTTTGTTTTGTTTCCTTCTCTTTCGTTTTAAAATCACSTGGCGGAGAGGGGAAGAAAGAAGGTTAAGCTTAAGTAGAGAGATGCATAGCGAAGCATATCCCTTAAATACAATATTAAAGGCCTCTCTATGTGCTTATTTTTGGCGAGAGCCCTTCATCCTTCCTGAGGATGCAGATGGATGATGAGGTGGGCACTGTGTAGCCAGGCGGTCCTCACRGCAGGTGCTTGGAGGGGCCATCAGGATGACTTAGAGCCTCAGGTTGCTGCCCGTAAGTGCTGCAAGAGAGGCAAACTCGTGGCAGTAACTGCGGGTGAAGATGAATGACCACACAGGAAGCTTYCAAATAGAAGTCAGTGAGTGCCTGTTACAAGCAAAAGTACAAAATAGCCTATATTAGAGGCTTGTAGTTAGCACAGGCCTCATGGAAAGATTATGTTTAGGTGGAAAGAATGCCAGCGCGTGATATATCAGGATCTAACAAATATACAAGTATTTCCTATCAGGGATAAATTGCTCTGTCTTTGACTAGCTCAGTGCTTTAAATGGCTCAGTCTTCTTATTTTAAAGTGAAATTTGCAACCTCATTTGGGTGCCTTTCTCTTGAAAGGTTGCATATAGGTTCTTGGCAAGCACGTCGCATTGATTGTTTTACTGTTAAACTGTTGGTGAATGCATGGTCTTTTTTGGCCAAATATCTATCTTGGTTACTTCATATTGACAGCAGTCTGATTTTTGTCTTTCATATTTACCATATTTTCAAATTTTCCAACTTTCATATTTTTCTGRTATTTTACTCCTTTAAAAAAGGAAAAAAAAAAAAAACTTCTCTATACTAAGAGAGTGCAATGTGTAATATCTCTTACTAAGTGCTACTTGGTAATGGCTTTTTTTCCCCCATTAACTTTAGAGTTGGCAATGAAATATCCTGCAGAAAAAGAGAAGATTATTTGGAGTGGCCTGAATATTTCATGGCAGTTGCTTTTTTGTCAGCACAAAGAAGTAAGGATCCAAATTCTCAGGTAAGCAGGAAGTATATAAGAGTAACAAAATAATTTATATTGCATGGAGCAATTTGGAGGATTTTTTACTTTTGTTTTACAGAAATTCTCTTAATGAGTCTGAAGTTGCCTGTGTATGTTTGCAGCTCAAAGTTTTGTGAATCTGCTCTTCACATAGTGGTTAAAATAACGCATTCTTTTTTTTTTCCTAGTAAATACAGTTGTTATTTTTCGAGGAGGATGTAATCACAGAAAGCATTAGATAATATTTATCGTCTGAGACAGAGTCTCAAATTTCTTTTCAGCACCTTTAAGACAGTGTAAAACTTCCCTCATGTTTCTGGGTTGCTTGAGGGCTGGTTAATCCATCCATTACTTGTATTGAAATGGCAATAGAATTGATTTTTAATTCACATAACTAAAATACAGACAGAAAGCCGGACACTCAATTCTTAAAGGAAAGTCCTAGTGCAGACCTGCATTAGAATAATAAGGTGAAAGTTTTAAGGTCTAGTATTTTAGTGCGTTTTTGCTAAAACAAGGCAGAAAAGCTGACTGGAGCTAAAACATTCCTATTTATCTAAATACTAATATTCCTGTTTCATCTCCTRTCCCTTTTCTAATGTTGGTCCTGCTCTGACTACCAGTCCTTTCAAAACTGTTTCAGGGAGCTGAACTGAAAACTTCTGCTTAGTAGGTTTAGATTTTTGTTAGCTCTGCTCCCCGAACTTGCTTGCTTCATAATCAGCCAGGGAACAGTGCTGGCTGGAGGGGATTGGGGTGTTGTGACCAGAGAGAAGTAGGGAGGGTTGCATCAGTCCTGGTAATTTTGAAGCTCTATCAGTTGGATGCAACAGTAGCTCAGCTCAGTGCAGGGTTTGACTTCACATAAAGTGAAGCTTGGTCCTTTTGAGAGGTTTGCAGGACTGACTCTTCGGGACTCATCTCTCTTGTTGATGTGTTGTTTTGCATGCTGTTGGTGCTATATCAATCTTATTTTATTTAGGTTGGTGCTTGCATTGTAAATTCAGAAAACAAGATTGTTGGGATTGGATACAATGGGATGCCTAATGGCTGCAGTGATGATGTACTACCCTGGACAAGAACAGCAGCACACAGACTAGACACGAAATATCCCTATGGTAAGGCTTCTTGTGCCTGACAGGTCRGGCTTGTGATGTCTGCATATGTGTGAGTTCAGCTGGCAAAACACTCATCAGTTTTTCTTCCACTCAGCCGATTCTGTTAATGTGCACGTGCATGGAACATCAGAATAAAAATCACAGTTCTGAAAATAGGTGAAATCAATGTTTGTGAAGGTCTTCTTTGTGAAAAATGTGCTTAAATGCTTAGTATTTGGATTAAAAGTATAGCACTCATTAGAACACAATTGCAGTGTGTGTAGATAATGTTACTTTTGTGTCTTTATCTCCCCAGAAATTACTAAGATCATGTAGATGCAAAACATATAATTGGGTTTAAATTACTTGTATCGAACTTGTAAAGCCCAGTGCTTGTGGGTAATTCCAGAGTTCAGGTGATTGTTGTAGAYGCAAAATGGAGTGGGGAGCTGCTGCCTGTGGCATGAGACAGCTGATTTTGGGAAGAGCCATGGTTAGGCTTGATAAAGAAGGCAGGAATGTGTCCTCTCTTTACTCTAACTTTTTCCACTTCTGCCAGTGGAAGTAGCAGCTTCCATGTGAGCTGCTATCCAACCTGTATTGGGTGAGACCAGTGCAGTTGGAGCTCAGGAAAATGGAAAAATAAGGAGTTCTTTTGTCCTGGGATCATGAGTGGCAGGGAAGAGTTGCAAAACAAGACAGAGAGAGCTGATTTTTTTCAACTTTTACTAAATTGACTGATTCAGAGTTTAGACTTCACTAGTTTTGAAGTTCCCCATGTTCCTCAAGGGCCTGATACTGTTTTCTACTTTCCCATAGCAGTGAAGTGAAAGATTATATGCAGCAGTTCAGCACATAATTCAACAGTTTTGTATTTGATTTTTTATCTTTATATTTTGTCCTTGTGAAGCTGATTAATTTGTTGTAAAATCTCCTTGGTTAACTTGTAAATTTGGGACAGTTTCATATTAAGAGATAYATTTCTAGTACAAGGGCCAGCTAGTGCCAAATCTTATATCCTAAAGAGTTTGTCTTGAAGAATTTTACCTGCTTTAGTGTAGGTGACTTTCATTTGTTGCAGGATTAGCTTTGTGGACATCATAATGAAGGTACAGCTTTATATATCTGCCCTTTACTCATAGCATAAAGAAATGAGCACTATCTCATGAGAAATCCAAATACCCTCAAATGTAAAATGAGCAATTCAGAAGTAGAATAGACTTGTGAGGAACTTCTGCATAAGATGACTTGRGATTGATGGTGGTTGATGTGGTAGTGGTTGTTGTTTTTTGGTTATTAGTTAACACCCCAAAAGAGGTGGAGTGTTCTAGGGAGTAAAATGTTATGTTCTTAAAAAATGTGCTAACCAAACAGTTTATGCAGAGATGAACTCTTCTCTAGGAATTGATCTAACCACTACCTTTCTCTGCTAAGAAATGTAGTCTTCACCTCATTTAAAAAAAAAATCACAGCTTTGTAACATACAGTGTCTGCTGTGATGAATAAAGGACTGTATTTGTAATTYCAAGATCACTTAAACTCTAACGGTTTGTATTAATCTTGATAGCACAGTTGACAGACCAGTCAGGTATATATTAAAAAATCTTTTACATGAAAAAATTGTGCTAGATTCAGAGACGTATAGGATGGCTGCTAAAATCTCATTAAACTGTCATGTTTTCCTTTCCATTTTTGCTAATCATCACAGCATTTCTCTAAATTGAGCTTTTCCTTTTTATCCTTTTTTTCTCCTGTCTARCTTGTTCAGAGATGCTACAATCTTGCTGTTAGCTCCATTAACTTATCATAAAATGCTGGCACCTTCATCACTAGAGCTGCAGTGCAGCTTATTAGATAAAGCTGCTGCTATTTGTGCATGTGCCACCACGCTAGTCTGGAAGATCTCTTCTAGAGCTATGAYTTGCATGTGCCCTCCTAAGGGAAAGGGCTGGGAGTGGATCCRAATGCCAAATTCCTGGTTTCACGTGATGGTTGTGTGTTGGGCATCACTCCTGGCTCACATGCTGCCTGCTTTGGTCCTCTCCAAGCCGTGGATCCCTGCTTGGATCCAGAACGAAGCCCGGCTGGTGCTCCATGGTGCCCTCCATCCTACATGGGCCTGTAGTCAAAGCCTGCTGAGCTGGTGTGCCCAGCCCTGCTCCCTGCCTCAGGCCACACCAGGGGATATGTAATGTGTATTTTGCTTCGTGCTTTAAAAATACCACTCTGTTGGTCTGGAGCACAGCCCACGTTTCTTTATGYACTTTGAACTGAGACACACAAAGTTAAGGTCGGTGGTGCTGCTGGGATGGGGACGTTGAGGCGAGGCAGGGCGCAGCGCCGTGCAGTGCGGGCCGAGCCCCGAGCGAGGCGGCAGGAGCGAGCCTGGCCCCACCAGCCACGGCTCAGACCCTGCCCGGGCACGGACAGCAGCACAGCGCCACCGGGGGCCGGAGCATATCCCGGAAAAAGCAGCCTAGAGGCTCCTGCAACCAAGTTTTGCAGCTGCAGCATGAGGCAAGATGAATATTTTGACCCCACAGCTCTGATCAGTTCCACAGTTTCATAGTTAGAAACCTTCTTGTTACTACCCTAAATTAGGATTTAACTAATCCTGCTTGGCATTGGTTTAACTAATCCTGCTTGGCATTGGTTTAACTAATCCTGCTTGGCATTGGTTTAACTAATCCTGCTTGGCATTGGTTTATGCTTTTGTGTTTTCTTACGGTTTTTCTTTTCACAGCACTTAACCTTCTTTCCTTCTCTGCTTCTTCCTCTGTGCACTTATTAGTAACAATAATCTTTCCACTTGGTTTTTGGGTTTTGGTTTTTGGTCTTGTCACTCTTAAATTTTACAGTGCAAAGTTGTTGGTTTAAATTTCTATGTGTCTGTTATCTGTCTGCTGTGTAAGAGTATAAATCTGACCTGCATCTCGAAGTGTGGATCAGTGCCGTGGAAAGGGCTGCATTTGGTTGTGTGTGTGGTGGTGGTGTTTTTAAATTGCCTCCCTGCAAATGTAGCCTGGGCTGTTACTACCAAAAGAAAGCATCAAGACAGCGTTGATAATGCTCATTTTATTCTAGAGGATGCAGATATTTGTAAGGCGTTCGTATTTTATACTTTATAGGAATCGTGATGTGGATCACCCACTGATGCTATCCACTACTTGAAGTCTTGAAGCTGATGAAAACTTCCTGCCTTCTCATAGGGTTGTTAATGCCTTGTCATACTAGAGGTRCTTGCCATTCTGAATGCTGTTTTGCACAGCACAAAATCAGACTTTCATTGCCTGTTCGAACTGGTTCTCCCTACCCTGCCAGTTAGTGACAGAAATGAGGATGTTTCTGGGCATATAGGAGAAATACTAAGATGATGCTAAAAGCTCTTCCTAAAGCTTTTTGTTCAGTACAGCGTGCAGAAGCTTCTTAATAACTAGATGAAATTCTGCCTTTCAGGGACCAAAGACCCTCCATTTCTGTTAGACGAATCCAAGGATTTGTTGATGTACTGTTTCCTCTCATTGACTGTTTAAAGTGCTACGTTTTTCTCCTATTAACATAAGTCTTCCCACTAATGCTTGTTGCTGTGCTCTTGTTATGCCCTCTGTCTCCACTTAATCTAGGAATATCTATCTGACAACCAGTCTCTAATTAAGAGAGTTTTAAATAAAAATGGCTGGCAAATTTAGAAACCTCTAAGCAATAGAGAAAATACTGAGTAAAAACGCTTACAAATATTTATACAGATTCACATATAGCAAAATATGTGGTGTGGCATAAAGCGTATTSTAATTGAATGGTACCTGCTGTGTAAAATGAAACAGAACTGTTATCACCGTTTTGTCGTGTTAGGATTATGAGCTTTTTGTCTCCCCCCTCCACCCCAGCCAGAGATGAACACTTGAATATATTCAGGCAAGTGTTGCTTTTATAGAGGCTGTTGTTTGACAGCACAAAACTTGGTGGGAGAAGGCACTATGGAAAAGTGTGATGCTCTGTCTCCAATTGGCAGCGCAAAGCTGAGGCTGTGACTGGAAAGGGGATCCGTAGGAGACAGTCTCCACCTACACCAAATCACTCTCTTGTCCTGCACACATTTCTTTTCAATTTTGCTGGYATATATCAAATCTCTAGGAAGTCGGGAAACAAAAATAGTTTCTCTATTTGCCAGTTAAGAAACACCTCTCCCTTTCATTGAGGTCAGCATACGCTTGGAGCAGAATGTGAAGAACTGGAAAACAGGATGGATTAGCTTAGTGTTTAACAGTCTGAGAGGGGCTTTGCTTTTCTGCTTCCAGCAGATTTCATGTGATGCTTGGAAATGGGCTGAGTGGCAAGTGAGCCCATCCTCACTTGCCACTACTCTTCCTCAGAAGGCAGTGAGGTTGGGCTGTCCCTTCTTGTTTGCAGTCTACAGAAGCTAAGGCTCCAGTGGAATCTGCTCATGTTTTCGTCACCTTTCTGCCCTGGCCATGTCAATGTCCTTCCTCCAGTGCACAAGTGAGAAAAAAGAGCATCAGAAGTGGGGCTGAGGATGGTATCAGCCYCCTCATCAGTGTCCTGGCCTTCTGCTAATGCAGCGACCATCGCCCACCCCCTGCTTTCACAAGTCTGAAAGGAAAAAAGAATTGACACTATCCTGCTACTTTCAGAGCCATCAAACACTGTCCCCTGTGGTTGTCCAGGCTCTGTTCGTTTTGGTAGTGTGTGATGGTCCTTTCTCAGCAAAGCTTCAGTTATCCATGGGACACAGGATAACAGGTAGGTAGAACTGGGATGGGATTGCCATGGAAGAGGAGCATGAACCTGGCAAAGGGAAAGAACCTGGCAAGAGAAAGTTTTTTGTCTAAAGAGTGAGAACCAGTGGTCCAGGTTACAGAATTGYCTGTATCTCTTTCCATGTCAGGTCTGTGTTGCAAAAGAGCTTGCTATGACCTGTGTTGCTGGGAGCTGACAATGTTTGCCAAGTTGCTCAACATGGCAGTCTGAACAAGCACAATCAAAAGAATGCAAGTTAAAACAGGCTGCGTACCAATCTATTTGCATCTAGTGCATTCTTTTCAAATGTATTTAATGCACCATCTCTCAAAAATTAGTTTGCTTCAATTAATAATTAATTGTACAGAAAGCTTGATACTGCCTCCAACCCTTTTTTTTCTGATTACTTCTAACAAAGTTATTTACATTCTTGTGGTGGTCCCTACTGAAGATCTTCATCAAGTATACAAGACTTATAACTACTGATAAACATGTGAATAGTCATGTGGTTCTTATAAAATGACTTGTGCCAGAAAATTTTTAGTAGGTGGTAAGAATAGTTCTGACACTACAATCTAATAAGAATATCTCCATAATAAGATTAACAATACTAAAAAAAAAAAAAAAAAAATCCTGAATAGGTTAAGAAAGGAGCTCTTTTATTTGCCTGATAGGCTTGTGGATGAATGCTACTCGTATCTGCAACTCAAAGCAATATGCGATGCAAAAATAAGATAAAATATAGTAGCAATTAATATTATGAGTAATGAAGCAGTCATTCCTCTGCTCTCCCCCCCTATTAACATATTAACAGGTGGTGGGAATGTCAGAACGTAGAATAGCAGCTTCTCATTGCATGGTTTTTTCTTCAGCTAATGAAGCCTTTAGAGAATACTTTTCAAGACACTTTCCAGAATGGAAGATAGTGTTGCAGACTTAATATTTTGTTGGCTGTACATGGGTATGGGGAGGGGAAAGTAGATGCCCCATAAGGTATTGTAAAAATTCCTAGTTTTACTAGTCTATTTAAATACAATTTGTGGAGTTCCAAAATGCTATGTACCTGTGCATGATTAAAAAGATAGTTTCTAACTGAGAAAAATATGTCACTAATAATGAAATAGTCAGTGCTATTAGCAAGTTAGGGAACTGCCAAATAAGAACTACTTAGCTATTAGCGGCAGGGATTTTGGACTCCTGGATTCAATTTCTGGCTTTTCCACTATTGCTCTGTACAAATTTGGAATGGTAATACACGGAAAAAAATGTAGGTAATAGACTACGTTTCTATAAATTTGGTGACAATCAATGCCTGCCTGCCTGCCAGGTAGGGGGAAATGGAGGAAGAATGAAGAGCAGTGGGACACAGTGTAAAGATTTCTGGTGCCTATACCCACCAGTAAAAGGGCCAGTAGCAAAGGTATAGGGAAATATAKAACAGAAAGATACAAGTGTAATGATAACTTCTCCAGAGCGTTCTCCTGAGTTCCAACTCTGAATCAAAATCATAGAATCCTTAAGGCTGGAAGGGATCTGCAGAGATCATCTAGTCCAAGCCCCCTGCACATGCAGGGACACCCAGAGCATGGGGCACAGGGYGGCATCCAGGCGGGTTTGAAGACCTCCAGAGAAGGAGACTCCACARCCTCCCTGGACAGCCTGTGCCAGGACTGTCACCCTCACTGTTAAGATTTTTTTTCCCTAAATTTTTCCTATTAAATGGTTTTGTGTTTAATAGCCCTCAGTAGACTGGAAAAAAAGTACTGGAAAAATGATATCTTGAATCAATGCAGACTTTTAGTTCCTACTGTTTTTATGGAAAACTTGTGTCTTTTTCTTTCTTTTTTTCCCACCCCTTCTTGCAATGAATTAGTCTCTGATTCTCCCTAGCTAGTTGTCTTGCACATTGTTTTGGCATTGAAATTGCTTATGCTTGAGAATAAATTTGTTGTTGAAAGTTTCTCTAAGCTAAGGCAGTTTCTTGAAGGCTCTTTCCTACCACGGCAGGAAGGAAATTTTGCGGTATTAGTGATAAAAGATGTTGTTTTTATGGCTTAAAACTTAAGAATTTTAGCTAAGAAAAATATGAAGGTAACTAGAAGGGGGTTTGAGTTCTCTGAGTCTTTGGAAATGATCCTTACTCTTCTTTCTGGATGTCTTCCATATTTAAAAATGTTGACTAGAACAAAAGTATATTGTTCAAAGGAAGTGAGAACTGGTGGTTCTGTCCTGTCAATGCTATCTAGTTCAGCTGCTGGAATTGTGACTGTGTGTGTTTCACCCATTCCTCCAGAACCCCAGAAAAACAGCTCTCCCACAGCTGACTGTGAAGACACTGTAGGACTAGTAGAATTCAATAACAGATTTGGCATTAAATGATTAGTATTAAAATTATAAATTTTTAGAAAATCCAGAAAATAGATAGGTCTTGTATACTTGGTGGTATATGTTTAAAATGCAGCATCACCCAGTTGCAGTTGTAATAGAAACCTTCATGTGAGCGGGTTGCATATCCTGGTTAATTTCTTATTTTTATGTAAATTTCATTTTTTCTGAGAATGTTTGTGGACAATGTGATCCCAGTGGTGTAGGAAAATGCTCCTAGAAGGTGAAACTGAGCTTTCCTTAGCRAATGTTTGGTTCTTTGCAACTCATCTCCATGGGAAAGTTTGTGTGCTTTAAGTTAGGCTGCGAATTTATAGTGTGTGAGCTGTTGTATGAAAATTCCACATGGACATTGAGCGCATAAGGAAAGCATTTCCATTCAGTAAGGGCTCCTGCACATTTGAAACTGCAGCACTCGGCTCTTCCTGTGGTCATTCACATAGAGGTCACTACATAGTAGCAAATATGCTACAAACTTGGCTCAAAACTGCCTATTAATGCTCTTGTGTAGACCAGCGGGAAGAAAACTTTTTGCATCCATCCTGCCAGCCAGCAGTGGAAAAACTCTTGTCGTCCACACTTCACTTTAGCACCTGCCTGTGAAATGAGTCGGGGCTCTAGACATTTTCTAAATTGCACAGTTTATTGCTAAAACTAAACGGGAAGTTCTAGAACAGKTCCTGTTACCTAATTTTCTTTTTCTTTTCTAGGGGACCGTGGTAAATTGAACTCTTTTTCCCTTCGGTTAGTAACAGGATAGATAATCTATTGAAGTGAGTAGTATGAAAACATAAACCTCAGAGGGCGATAGGTTCAGAAAGAGCTATTGTGCTGCAGCGCAATGAGGCAGAGTAGTCTGTAGCTACCTGTTTTATCCCGACTCCATGGAGAAATACAGGACTTTTCTTTCTCCTTGTGGCTTTTTTTTTTTTTTTTTTTTTTTTTTGGCTTAGGAAGTCTGGCACCTTTTAATGATCAGTAAACTTGCTTTAATATTAAAGTGGGACTTTCTTATGGTTGAGCATCTTGTGTAATCTTGGGGTGAGATAATCAAGGAACAGAGCTGAGCAGTTCTGAGACCCTGAGGACAGAGCTGCTCGGTTTTCCTTCATGATTCTCCCGCCTTTAAGAGTGCGCAGTGTGCTCTCACAGCCATAAGAATGTTCTRTCTGTGCATGTAAACACATAAACGAGCTGTTTTATACTGGCAATTAGATACTCGGGAGAGTTGTGAAGCTGTGAGATATTGCTTCACTTAGGGTGGTTGGCCCACAGCCTACGGCTTTGCTGCCTGCCATAGGTGTTAGCAAATGGCAATGCTAATGTGCTTAATGATATCATTACTAATCGGCAGCCTGGCCAGGACAATTGACCTTCCTTGATCTTGGTATTTCTGCTTTTATTTCTTCCTTTACCCTTTATGACAAGCCGCGCAAGCTCTTTGCCTTTGAAAGGATGTAAGCAGTTATAACATTTTAATTTTGGTTTGACTGATCTAATGAACAATATTATGTGTTTTTTTTCTAATTAGTGTGCCATGCTGAATTGAATGCCATCATGAACAAAAACTCAGCTGATGTGAAAGGCTGCAGCATGTATGTTGCCTTATTTCCATGTAATGAATGTGCAAAGCTCATCATCCAGGCAGGTAAGGAGTAGTGCCAGCTTGATTTGTCAAGGTTGCAGTGCTGCCTGCTTGTTGGTATCTTATCACAGATGTATTTGATGTTAAATTGCTGCTGTAAGATCTAAATTAATTGCACTGTCAACTTCATGGGATGCTACTTGCGGGGTTTTTYTGCATCTGAACGATGCCAGATTTTTCGAGTGCTAATTGCATCTTCTGTGATTCTAAGCGTGCTTCTAATTTCGGTTTGTAACTTCTTAGACCAGGAGCTGCCAAAGAACAACGCAGGCTTTGCATATAATCACTGTCAATTTTACTGTGCTCTGACACTTGGAATAGAGTAGGGCAGCAAGAAATAAACTTCTGCATGACAAAAGGTCTGCTGGGAGTATATACATGAAATTTTAATTTGAATGTGATGCATGGTAGATATTTGGAGATTTTAAAAATATCTTTGCTCATAAATGTTGTTAGACTTTCACGATYCCACTTTTATTATGTGTTTCATTACAATTGTTATAAATCTGTGCTGCTGTAGCAAGTATGCTGGCCTAAATGTGTCGCCTTTTTCAGATTAGGCTTATCCGCAGCAAGCTTTGGTTCCATAAAAACCTCTGCTTAAGGTAGCACCTATTTTACTCTCTAAGTAAGATTTTGCAATCCTAGGAAGGATCACTATCTTCCAAGTTTCATTTCTCACAGATGGTCACAGGAATCTAGGAAGAAAGAAAAGTATCAGAGAGAACGCTCCTATGAGGGATCGAAGGGGCAGGACTAATACCCTGCATTTGTGCTAAGCTCTGTTCTTTAGTGTCAAAATCAAATGGTCTTCAAGGTAGATTTGCTACTTGTTCCCAGCATAGTACCACACTGGCAGTAAACAGCAGTGTATTGACATTTATGTTGTCTGGTAAATGCAATAAAATGTTACAGCCCTTGAAACTCTGAACTTCTCTTGGGTCAGCCTTTACACTTTCTTCTTTCTTAAATAGGGTGGGAATCATCAATTTAGGCAGATTGCTCAACAGTTTGAGGCTGTTTGCTTTTGTGAGGATTGGAATGTGGGACCAGGARTTATTTATAAAATGGAACCAAAAGGAAAAAAAATATTTATTTTGTAACTATGCATTTGGAAAAAGAATGGTGTATGGTATTATGGGGTTTTTGGGGGACGGAGGGAGGAAACTCTATTTAAGTTATATTGAAAAGGTAGAAAAGAAAGTTTCTACTAGACTAGAAATAACGCTTTTTTTGCCCCAAAAGCTGTTTTGTTTGTCTTGCATTTTTGGCTGCAAGTTTGTTTCTGGTTTCCTGAGGAAAACTTCAGTGAAAGTTGGGGGAAATGCACATTCCAATGGTTTTTCAGAGAATGGTCTTCTAAAACAGCTCAATCTTATACAAATTTATTCTCAAGTACAATCCTTTGGAGGAGAAGGGGAATGCCAAGGAGTTTTGCAGCATGTAAATGAATGCTCTCTTTTCTGATTTTGCATATAAGATTTTATATGACACTTTCACTGTTAATTCTAGCCRTTTTTTTCTCTATATGAATTTCCTAGGCATAAAAGAAGTTATTTTTATGTCTGACAAGTATCATGACACTACTGAAATGACAGCTGCACGACGCATGTTTGATTTAGCTGGAATTATATATAGGTAAGAGAACTTTTGATTAGCTTTATTTTTAATTTGGGAAGGAAGAAAATGGTGTACAAGATGCCAATTTTAGAGCAGTGTTTTTTCTTCTTTGCACTTTACAGTGTTTTGTTCTCTTGAGTGCCTGCAAAGATAGAGTTCTGTTTCATAATGTCGTATGAGAAAATGTCCACTTGAAATATTAATTGCATTCCTGGACTTTCTTTGGATACTGTTGGTGAACCTGTGATTCTGATGGTTATTGGTTACGTTGTACCTGAGAGTTAGAGCTGACCCTGCTTTGAGCAGGGGATTGCAGGACCTTGGGAAGTTCTTTCCGACCTGAATTATACTATGAGCTGGGCTGAAATAACTGATTCATTCTGTGTAGATTACCTGGTCCTTACTAAATATTTAATATGTTTGTGGCAGCCAATTTGGGCAGGTCTCAAGCCAGCCACCCATCATTTTATTGTGTCTGTCTTTTTTTTGTTAACTTMTTTTTTCCTGGGGAAAAGGATAGAAAGTGGCCTTGAAGTAATGAGAAACTGAAAAATGTTTGAAGAATGGGTTTTTAAAGACACTGACAGAGATACCTAAAAACAATCTGTTCAGCAGCTAGTTTGATAGCAATAACATGCTGTGGGTGAAGCTAATTACGCAGTCAGGGAGGCTTTGCAACTCGGAAAAAAGTACAATATTAATAAAACGGCTTCTTAAAATGTGCAAACATAACAGTTCTGACGGATGAAATTTTAGGATGAAAGGTACCTACTGGGCTCAGAAATATCCACGAACAGGTACAGTAGCACTTGAAATTCAATTTTAGTCCTTCAGTCTGTTTCCTTTTCTATTAAATCTATATGGCTAAGGAGCATAAATCATTGTGTTGAAAGTCAAATCTTAGAAGTTTTCCAGGGTGAGAAGTGTTTCAGACTGCTGTTATGGAYGCAGTGCATGTCTTAATCCTTCATAGCTTCTGTGGTCAGCAGCATGTGTTTTTCTGTGTTGACTGTTATTCATTCTTGTATTGATTATTAAGGATGTAGGTGGTACTTAATGAATCTCTTGAACTGAATTGCAGAGCTTAATTAGGCACTAAATCCACACTATTTGCATAATCCTTTGTTTACTAGAAGGCTGTAAAATATATGCTCAGTCCCCAAATACCTTCCTTGCTAATTGCTGTAGCAGATGCTCTAATGATAATAAAAGGAAACATTTTGTGGCAGTATTAATTTTAGAGTTCTAAAGTTAAAATTTTTAAATGATTCCCTCTTAACTAGTTTGTTTTTTCTCCCAGTATGCTGCATAATGTGACCTATTCCCACAGCACAGAAAAATATGAAAATCAAGCAAAGCAAACTTTGGAAGTGTTATTTGAAAACTTGGCAGGAAGAAAAGTGATCAAAAATCTATGTGTATAAATATTTTTTTTAAACAAAAATTTTAGCCCTGGTAACATGATGCCACCACCTGCAGTTAAGTTGTTAAAAGTCCTTTGACTCCTGGGTAATTTATGAACTCCAATAGTCCAAGAATGTACAGGCTAAACCTCCCCATGTGTCTTTTTTGTCTTAGTCTTTCTTGTCCAGGTTTCTCTCAGTGTGGTGCACTATAATTGGCTCCCATAGAGATGAAAACTATGTGAATCCAAGGAACTTTTTTTTTTTCCTTCAGAAATATAGCTGTAGCCAAAGCAAGCAAAATGTTTTAACCACTTGCTAATATCTATGTTTTTCTTTATTTTTAGGGAATTCAAGCCAAAGTGTAACAAGATCATCATTGACTTTGATTCAATTAACAGCAGACCAAGTCAAAAGCTTCTGTGAATTAAGTCTCATTAAATCTGTAGAAGACTGTGATTATCCTTCTCAAAAAGCTGCTATTGCCTTTCATCTTGAAGTTCCTTGTGACTTTTTAATGACTTCTACAGCTAAAATAGAGTTCTAAGAGTTACAAGGTCTAAAATGCCCTTCCACACTCCATGTCTTCCCCATCCCTGCCTCATCTTGTCATATGGAATCTAAATCTACTTAAAATGTGGTAATGTCTTTATCAAAACTGCTTTAAAAGTATAGGCCTGTGTTGATATTAATCTTCACCTAGCATAACACTACTATTTTAAGAGATTTTACAGATTAACCAGATTGTTACCTGGTGCCTTTGCTATCCAACAAATGGAATAGCGTTTTTTCTTTTAATTGCTATCTAACATCGTCAGATATGGGGAGTSGGTAGAGAGGGAACTGTTGGGCTTTTTCATGTCAAGCCTAGTTGTCCGGGAGCTTTCAATTCTTTGCTTTTCCCAGGAACTCGGAAGGGAACAGGGTTAAGGAGTAAATCATTTGGCCCTTTTTATTTGGGGCTCCTATTGGGAATTGATTTTCATGTGAAGAGGGAAATTGATTTATTGGTCTAAGTTGCTCCTAGACAATCCAGCATAGTTGAGTCTTAAAATTAACCTGTAAGGAAACTGAATCACTTCTTGTCCTTTGAGTGAAATTGGAGATACTCARTCCAAATCCTTGCCAAAAGATATAATTATGGTGTTAGCTTGTTTCCCAGTGCTGGTGTAGTACCTTCATTTTCATAAATGTTGCCTAAAATAATATCCTTTTTAATTTTATTTTGAGGTCTGGGAATAGAGTTGAGTTCCTTTTCTCTAATTTGATTTTTTTAAATTAAATATGCCTAATGGCTTTGTTTAGATAACACTGGGATTTTTTTTTTTAAGAGTGGTTATACTTCAATGAGCTTTTATTTTCTCTGTAAAAGCTTTGTTTCATATTTTGGGACATTATGTAATTTGGCATCATACCAGTCTTATTAAATTCTTATTAAAATCCACTATGTTGAAGTAGACTCATTATTATAATATTAAACCATGTGTTTGGCTCCAGAGTGCTGCTGTTTTTGCAATCATATGCAAAGCATATTTTGTGCATTTGTGATACTACATAAAGTGTAATGTTCATGAACCACTTGGCTACTAAAGGGAGAGTTGTAATGTATTTTAAGATGTGTCCGTTGGAAAGTAATTTCTGACTTTTTTTTCTTCCCTGCAACTGTTTCCACCTCAAAATTGGTCTGTGGCTTATTGTCAGGAGGAGAAATTTGTGCATATATAGAGGGGGAGGGTGAAACCTGAAAAATTACTTTAATAAAATGTCACTGGAACAGCTTATGCACATCTTTTTCTTCAGCCTGAATTAATAAGTGGGAGCATTTTGAGTTGCATTGACTTGACAATGGGACAGAGGGGAAGCAACAAAGGAAAATTCTTGGTTTGGCAGCAAAATTGCTATTTTTTTCCTATCTAATTGCCAGTCTAAGTTCAGGCTTAACCAGAACCACCATGCATATATCTTACTTAAAGTATTTTTGTGCAAGAGCCTGGATAATGGGAATGTATAATGTGCATGAAAATTCAGGTTTTCTTGAACCGAAGTCCAGATGTTTTTCCTTTAGGAATGCAGTAATCTTTATAATGACTTTCTTGCAGGCAGTTTTCTGTATCTGTGCAGCAGAAGAGCAGTCTTGGATGATGTGGTAGAACTTTAGACTCTTTCCAATCACTGTTTCAGATCTGACAGAAACATGAATATGAGCTTTCAGAGTCTGAGGCTGCTAAGTGTGCTCTGATTTCCAGGGAAATTTATGGGAGGGGAAAGGGGGAAGCCTGTGCTCAGTTTTGGGAGTGTGTGTAGCCTGACCCTCGTGTTTTAGAGTGCAGCTTACAGGAGAGTTCGACCGACCCTCGTCTGTGTGCATGACTAGCAGTCCAGATGGGCTTTGGTGGCTTTTCCTGCCTTGCTCAGGAGGTGGCACTTGGACTTCCAGATGTCAATTACTAGAAGAAATTAGTTAGATCCATCTGGGTCCCATTCAGCTGTTTTTGAGTGTCTTAAGAATACAGGTTCTGCCACCTTTCTGCTCACCTGATCCAGAACTTGACCCCCTCTCTGTAGATGTTCCTGTTTGTTTCCTTGCTTTTTCCCTGCATTCAGAATTTCCGTGGCCACAGCTTGCTGCTGTTGCCCCTGCTCCCGGTGCTCCCCATGTCCGAAGGGAGCCTGGCTCCGCTAGGCAGCCGAGCTCAGCAGGTGCTTCCAGGCCACGCAGGCCCTGCGCCCTCGTGCCCAGGCCCGCACCATGGGGTCTTCCCTCAGTGTCCCTCAGGTGTTCCCTGTCCATGGGGTGTTCCCTCAGTGTCCATCATGGGCTGGAGAGCCCAAGGGTGACCACATGCCAGGTTTGGGCTTATAAGAGCAGGGGAGAGGGTCACTAATAATCACTGTGTGTGACCTGTTGCCTTGTGCTCAGCTTCTGGTCCATCTGGACCTCCCCATCCTCTACCACAGCACTGCTCCCTATCCAGTGATACTACAGGGAGTTCTCTGGGGTGCAGGATTCGCYTTGTTGCAGCTCGGTGTTCCTCAGATGGTGGCTGGGGTCTCTGGGGCTGCCACCACCGTGTCGGTGCCCAAGCAGGCCTGGTGGCTGCAGGGGAAGGTGCAGGGCGGCCCAGCAGCCCTGCTGGGGTCGCCACGGCCGCGAGGGAGGGAGGAARCACATTGGGGTCAACGTGGAGAGCCAGTCCACTTCAGTACGATTGTGACTTAATGGCTAAATCCTGCTGTCATTAGGTTATTTTCATTCTAAATATTCCATTTTGTCGAAGAACCTAAGAAACTAACAATTTTATTTTGCATAAATTCTGTTTAAGGAATGGTTTCACAGGCCAACGTTTTGAAGGAGAGCAGCCTTTACCATTGGAACTGGTCACTGAGTGTTTTATTGCTTTGCATATTAGGAATATTTTCACAAACATAGCAAAAATCTGCTGTTTCCAGTACAATTGTTCTGACTTCCAAAACAGGATGCTGTAATACTGGYAATTAAAAGCTCTTTGGGTGCAGCTGCTGCTTCTCACTCTTTTTTTTTTTTTTTCCTTTTTTTTTTTTTATTACCTACACTACACGAGTAAAAGCATGAGGTATTGACTCTCTCTCCATTCCCTTAAAACTCGTGTTTATTCCGTGTAAACCTCTCGCCATGACTTGAAGAGAAAGAGGTAAAATGTCTTTTCAAGTACATAGCTTGCTTCTGCTCTGTGTTTTTAACCTCAGGAGCTATTGAAACGTGGTGGAAAAGCATTAAATAGAGCAGACCGCCTTAGAAGGCACTGTGCAAAATCTTTAAATCTATGCGTCCTTCCTTCCACACCTCACTCACCTATTTACTTTTCCTGGCTTGAAGGAAATAAGGGACAGGAGAAGAAAAGCAGTTAGGAACTGTCTCTGCCTCCTTYGGAAAAGCCAGTGTCTTCCTGGCATTTGCAGCTCTGTTAAAYGGCAGCGAGAGCTTTAATGAAACATGTGGTCAATCCAACCAGGGAAGAGCGCAGCGCTGGATTTTCCTGCAGTAGGTGCTTAATYGCAGCCGCCTGGAACCGCTCATGCCTGGCAGTGGTGACATGACCATGTCCCTGGCTTTTTGGGCACATTTCCTAACTGCGGCATAAGGACATGGCATCCTGGAGAAGCGTGGTGCCAAGGGCCCCGTCGCAGAAGGGCAGCGCCTAAAGCAGAGATACACGTGGTGGAGGACAGGAGTTACGGTGATTTATTTTGCATCTCTACCTCATTTTTTTTTTTAGTTTATTGGGATTTAGGAGGAGTTGAGGAGCAGGGGCTGGAAGGGGAAGCGGCTGCTGCTTTCTGCCAGGCTCAGAGGTTTATGGTGGAAAATCTGGGCCCTGTCACTGTGGTCCCTCTCATCCGACTATGAGAGAAAAAAAATCAAGCTTTATGTATGTGCTGAATTTTTAGTTGTTGACATTATTTACTGTGCTTTTAACAAACGGTGCCCTAAGGAGACCGATAATAATRTGCTCCAGCAGTAAAATATGCATAATAAAGAAGCAACCGCCTATGGTTTCCTGGGATTTCTGACTCCATGTTCTCSACCTCCCCATTCCTTCATTGTTTTAAGCTAATGGATTATTACGACTCCACCATGCAGATATTCAGAAGGGCTCCCTGCATCAAAGAAGAGCAGCTAAAAATATTCAAATCATCACTTTAGTGGCATAAGTTGTGCCTTGTTTTGCCACAGACGTGGATGTGTTCTGTAATCTGCTGTGTAATTCTGCCCCTTCTGCTTGTTGACTCGAGCTAAAGCCTTTTGTGTGGTGGATCTTGGAGGTCTTTCTTTTTTTCCTCCACTGTTCAGTCAACTCTGACTGCTAATCAGAAGGTTGCTGGGTAAACAGGACTGATTAAAATTAAAATTTTTAATTTTGTGTTGTAAACAATATGGCACTTTAATATTTGTACTGTTATTAAAGGCACTAATAATAATGCATGTAGTGTTTTACAGCATAGTTTTCATATTTGTTTCTTGAAGAGCTGTCAAGTTTTGCTGGAGAGCTTCACATACAGCTGCCAGGATTTTTAATTGCATGTATTTACTTTTTCAAGGGTGACTGTGCTTAACTATATTGGATACGTGTATCCTATTTATCCTTCCTATTTTTAAATCTTACAGGGAGGGTAACATTATTGTGACARCCAGGGAAATTAATCTATAGAAAATGGCCATATCACAAATGCATGGGTCTATATGAATGTACTCTTGGCTGTTAGCATTGCTTACCTATCTCCCAGAGGAAAAATAAGAACTTGTTAGGTGTAGAGGCACCTTGGAAGTGTGGCTGGAATTTGGAGACCTAGCCTGAGGATAGGGAGGGAGGAGACCAGAAAGTCCTCAGCAGCAAAATAAATTTGYGGAGAGATGCTGAATTCTGAGGATGAGAGGAAGAGAGAGAGAGAAGGATCCCTGTGACGTGGAGAGAAGCTGAGTAAGAAGAAGAGCAGAGCGCTTAGGCATGTCAGATGCAGGGCCTGAACTGAGGGASATCTCCATGGCAGGTGGGAAAGGGCGTTCTCTCTGCTGAAATTTGGGCTCCTCTTGTGCTGTTGGAGTGGCTCACWGTGCTGGAGTGCTCTGGTTGGACCCTTGTTCACGTCTGCCCTGTTCCTTTTCTGTTGGTGACAGCTTGGAGTGCAAGAAAGGCAGACGCCACCTTGGCTGTCCCCTCGCGGCTGAGGTGGCTGCGCCCTATTGCGTGTCTCCTGCTCGTGACAGGACATAAAACAGGTGCTCAAGTGTCTTTTAAGTGTGTGGGGCTGAAGGCGAGGAGGTGCTCCAGCCCTTCTCAACCTGAGGCCTGTGAAGAGATGGAGACTGACTCCCTTATTGGCATTCCAGTAACACCCTTCCCGACAAAGTCTGTCAAATGCTGCTTTGCAGGTTGGTAATAAATATTCTGATTCAAGATCTGTCCTCAACTGGGGGCTAAGGAGTTCTTGGAGTGATTTTAAATGCACTTTTAACTCATACTGATACAACAAAGGTGCCTTTTTACATATCCTGTGTGGGAGTAAAAGGGATTGGGGGAAAGCASAGGAGAGCTGTTTGAGGTCACAGGCTTCCCCAAGGTGCAACTTCCCATGAAAGTCAATGTATTGTGCGGTATTGGAGCTTCACCTTGTTTTATTTTAGGAGCTTTGTAAAGCCAAGGCACAATTCCCACTATTAGACATAAAGAAATGCCTTATTTCAACTCAGGTAGAAAAAACAAGTCATGTGAATGATGGTCCTGAGAATTTCTCATCCAAGAGAGAGCAGGACGTGCACACACATGCTCAAATGTACTTACTTTCGAAGGAGAAGTCTTCAAAAGAGGGAGCAGTTTCTGATATGGCCTGYGCTTTTTTTCAGTCTGTTTCCTTTATTTTTTTCTTTTTTTCTTTTCCTRCAAACCTTTTGATCCTCCTGCTTGC